AAAAGTCCAAAGGGGTAGGGTTAGTGGGAGGGGCAGGGGAAAGGAAAGAAGGGAAAGGAAAAATGATGAGAAATGGAAAACATGGAAATAAAGTCTTTGTAAATAGGGAAGGGTGGAGGGGGTGAAGGGAGGGCTAGGAATGGGGAAAAAATAAAAACTGAGATGCATCATGTAAAGGTACAAGTTCCCAATGAGAAATGTAATTGTGTTGTATATCTAAATTGTACCAATAAAAGAATTTAAGAAAAAAAATACAAGTAGAGCTTTACAAGTTTTCTTTTATTCAGCACAATTTCAGTATTTGAGATTTCTCCTGTGTCATAAATGAGATTATTAGATCATTTCCCTTTTAAGAGTAAGTCTGCATTTTAGGGTTCTATGTAGTTTTACAAATAATTGATAATAATGACATAATATTCTCAAAGCTGCAAAAATGTGAGAAGAGGTTGTATGAATGTTGATCTCAGTTGACATCTAAAATATTGATGAATTCAAAGCAGAAGTTAATTGAGGAATATTTAGAGCATGAAGTGCTGAAATTACAGGCTACCTGTCCCAATTGTACATCCTAGGTGGGATCCTCATCCTATATTCTGATTGTTGAAAATGAGAGCAAGATATAGTCAAGTACATAGCAAATGAAAAGCCATCTAATCATCTTCTTTTGCAAAAGCAGCCAGTGCTCTGTCATGGGCCTCCACTGCTCTTGGTATAGGGGTCACAAACTTGTTATAACGCCATCCCTTCCTAGTGAACAACTGCTCAAGGATTCCTCCGCATACTGTAGCCCTTGCTTACAATGAAGTCCTTAAAGGCAATTGTTCCATAAATATCTTCAATAATGTCAGGAGGAGGTTCACGTTGAGCTTCAGCTAGGATCTTGGGGTCAATCAAAGTCTCATCATTTATTAGTTTTTTCCATAGTTTGGGCTTTAGGTACCATGCTCCATACCTGATCTTCTCATGCTTTGGTTGATAGGGATTCTTTGGTTTCTTATGTTTCCTGTCAAAGTCTAGTTCCTGTATGGAGAATATTATCTCCTTCGATTTCTTTAGTCCCTTGCAGTACCTGAGCTCAGGAGGAAGCAGATTTATTTTCTTCATTTGGTTCTCATCATATGTTGGTTTGAACTCAAAGCCAATATCAAATCGTTTCAGCAGGAAATCTTCCCTGATGCTGAAGTCTCCCAAAGTAGCAACCCATCTACAGAAGTCATGGATTCCTTATGGCATGTAACTATGCTAAAGAGAGCTATGGAAATACAGTTTGCTTGTCTTGTCTTCCTGAAGCAAGCTGTATCGACGTGGCTTGGAAATCTTGGGAAATATAGGGAAGCCTTTTGGACTACCTTGTTTGGAAAACTTGGTGGGTTTCTTGGTTCCTTCCCTGAGGCCCTCGCAATAATTCCATGTGTCCTCCAGCTTCCGGTCCGGGTCCAGCACTTTGAGCACCGTTAGCAAGAGGTCTGCAGGGACGTCTTCTTCCAGAGTCGAGTAGAGAGCTGAAGATTTCTGGGCCAGGCAGGCCTGGAGGTCGTGCATGAATGTCTTACGTGCTAGCTGGGCTGAAGACAGTGTGGAGCACAGGCTTGCATCTTTGGGCTTTCTCTGGCTGTTTTTGGTGCCAGGCTGGGGGACTCTGTGAGCGACCATAGGAATAAAGGCCTCCTTGGTGCCGCGAATGATCAGACCCTCAGAATGTGGACAACCTTTCCTGAAGTCGTCCAGATCTTCCCTCACGAATATCCAACGCCGGCCATCCAGGGAGATGGAGAACTGAATCAGCTTGCTCTTGTGCTTTGCGAAACACTTGGCCACTGGCTCATGTACCCTTGGCCGCAAGTGCCACCTCTGCTCCATCATGGTGCCCTTGGTTTTGTGGCCACCACCAGAGTTTCAGTGGTTTGTTTCCAGAATCCAGCCATGTTGCTAAGTGACTAGGCCCTCGTGATGCACTGGGATTCTTTAGGGAGGGGCAGCCAGCCAGCCAGTGCCTCTCCCCCAGCTAGCTCCACTTTCTCATCCCTTGTGTGGACCTAAAACACTTGATTTAGCTGCTGCACTTTGGACGCACAAGCATTGAATCCATGTCTTTATGTGCACATATATTTTCATTACCCTTGGCTGAACTTTAGCTAGAAGTCCCTGGTAGGATCATGAGAGGTGTATGTCTAATGTCAACTATCAAACGTTTCCCAAATAGTTCTACTGTTTTTTAGATTGACAGATAAAATGTGTGTATTATGTAAAACATTTTGAAGTATATACTTGAAGTATATATACTTCAAAATATATATGTGTATATATATTGCAAAGTATATATATGTATATATATGTATGTATGTATGTGTATGAGTATATAGATAAGTATACATCTTGTGGAATGACTAAATATAGCCAATTAACATATGTATTACCTCACATAGTTATCATTTTGTGGTGATAACACTTAACATCTAATCTTGTAGCATTTTTCAAATATACAACCTATTACCATAGTCACCATGTATACAATAGATCTGAACTTATTTGTCCTATCAACCTGAAATTTTATATCCTTTCAGCATGTAGTTATTCTATTTTGTATTTCTTCCAGCAGGAGAATTTCAATTTTTCTATATACTCCCATCACTTGGTATGATTTAGTCCTTTGAATTTTGGCTATTCTAAAAGGCATGTTATATCTCATTGTGGTTTTCACTAGCATTTCTGCTGGTGTTGAACATATGTTCATATGCTGATTTGCCATCCAGTGGTGAAGTATATATTCAAAGTTTTGTATATTTTAAAATTTGAGAGTAATTTGTGTTTTAGACTTAAGTCATTCATCAGATACATAATTCACAAATTTAGGCTTCCACCTCTGGATTGTCCCTTGTCTTAACAATGTATTTCAAAGAACAGAAGACTTAAAGTTGATGGAGTTCCATTCAATTTGTTTTATGGACTGTACTTTTTATATTGTATCTAAGAAAACACATTGCCTATCCAAAGGTTACAGAGAGGTTTTTCTTGTCCTTGTTATTATCTTTCTAAATTTTGTTGTTGTTCTTTCTTTTTTTAATCAATAAATGTTTGTGATACATCATATTTACATTCATCCTGGGGAATGGGTACATATGCATATTGAATCTTAATCATTTTACTTCCCTCCTTGGTTTTTCCTCCTTGCTCTCCTCTCTCTTATTGTAAGTTGACTTCTGTAAATCGGGCAATATATATACCAAATGATTTCATATGCATCAAAATGATTTTTTTTTGCCTATGAGTAGATGATAATGCCAGAACTTTTTTTGAAATGGTGAGCTTTTCTCTGCTGAATTAACCTTGTAACTGAAGAAAATCACTTCTCTATATTTCTTGGGGTTTTTTTCTGATCCGTTGATTTTTCTCTTTACAGCAATTCTGCATTGTGTTATTTTCCTTTTATTGTAAGTCTTGGAGGTCAATCTGTATTAGTCATCAAATTCAGTTCTTCTACAATTTGTTTTATTTTTTTTGCTCTGCTATGTCTCTTAAATTTCTGTGGGAATTTTAGAATTAGTGAATGTCTACCAAAAAGCATGTTGGGATTTTAATTAGAGCTCTATGGAATCTGAAGATTAATTGAGGATAATTATCATTTTAATAGTTGTCATATTTTGTGACTCATGAAAATATACATATTGATCAACATATATGCATTTATCTTAACATTATTTTGAAGTTTCTTTTGGATGTGTTGCATATCTCTCTCCCTGGAGTTTTCCTAAATAATTTCATGTTTTTAATACTATTGTGAAAGGTATTGTGGGTGAGTTTTGGGAGAGAAGAAGGCAAGTATACTGTGCAGTACCTTGCTATCTGGTGATGAATTTGTTATTCTTTTACTTATCTAAAAAATTATGTTTTATCTTAGTTGTTGAAAGATGTCTTCTCTGTGTGTACAATTCTAGGTTAATATATATTTTTCCTATCAATACTTTAAGTAAGTGCCTCCACTGTTTTCTCATTTGCATTGTTTCGGATGAGCAATCTGATGCCACCTTGACTTTTGTTTCTCTGTACCTGATGTATTTCTTTTTCCTCTGGCTGGTCAGAATAGTCACCATTTCATAGTTTGCATGCCAGGCTCTGCTCCCTGTACTTTTCTTAGGTGATTATTTTTCTGATTTAACCTAATCTCAAATTTGGAGATTTCTGATCTCTACCTATGTTCCCCCTCCCTAAACTGTATCCTGGGCACCTAGTAAACAATCTGTGGATAAACCACAAGGCTTACATCATTTATTTCTCATATCTAAGGGATCAGTTTCTGCTGTCTAATGTTTAGTGACTTGCAAATTATTGGCTTATCTATTTCTCCCATTAAAAATGTCTCAAGGAATAAAGCTGGTCTGTTTTAGTTTATATTTGCCAGAAAAGGAGATATAATTTACTTTGTATCGCTCTATCACTACCAGTCACATGAATCTGCCCCCTCCAAAGTCGCTAGAGAATAATTACTATCAAATACCTCATAAAATTTGCACTCATTATTCCAAAATGTGGATCATACTCCCCACATTGAAACCAACTTCTTAGATTCCATACCATTATATTTTTCTTGTATTAGTCAGTTTTCCTGACACTAGATCAAAATCCCTAACACTTGCTAATTAAAAGAGGAGAGGTCTATTTATTTGCCTCACAGTTTCCAAGAGTTCAGTACATGAGCAGCTGGGTCTAAGGCAGAACTGGCATGATGAAAGGACCTAGCAGAGGAAAGCTGCTTAACCCATGGCAGTTAGGAAGCAGAAAGAGGAAGGAGAGTCAGAGATAGATGATAGATAGATAGATAGATAGATAGAACCTCCAATATTGCACACACACCTCCTTCAATCATACCCCACCTCTTAACAGCCCATTAAACTATGAACTCAACAATGGATTAATCCACTGATGAAAATAGTGTTCCCATAATCTAATCACCTTCCAAAAGCCCCACCTCAGAACACATAAGTCTTTTAGGAGACATATTAAAACTAAACCATAACATTGCTTTCTCTCCCAATGTTTGTGATAAATATTCCCTTTAAAATCCAGAAAATAAACGCCAAAAATCTTAACATATATTACACATTTTATAATTTTGATCTAGCATTGCTTTTGTCATCACTAAGAATGCTGTAGTACACAAATTGTAGATTAGATATCATTCTTCAATCAAGGTACATCCTTGGAGAAAGCACTGTTAATCATTTAGATGCATTCAGACATTTTGTACTTTTACTGCCACTCCAGCAATCCATGTTTTAAAAATCCTTTAGTTACGTTCCATAGCATGAGCCACACAAGCTATACAAAATTTCCTCTCTTTCCCAAATCTCACCAAGTCATTCTTTCACCTTCATAGGGAACTCACTCAATTTTCCAACCACTGATCTCAAATCTCCTTGCATTAGTTGATTAATTCATTTGATATATACTTATTGATCATCAAATATGGCTCAAACAATTATGTACAATTTAGGGATATATTAGTAAGAAAGAGGGACAAAATCTGTGTTCCATTTTTATATTCTAGTGGACAAGCAGATCACAACAAAAACTGCTATTTTGACTCTTACATCTCAAGTAAATAAGTTATTACACATGTATATGAAAATTAAAACACAAATATACATGTAGAACTCAAGGATTTTATTATGTAAGTCATATGAACAACCAACTTTGTAATTTTAAATAATTTATTTGTACTATAATTCAACAACTATTTATTTACTTGAAATATGTGTCATTCACCCTGTTTGCTTCTGGAGATACATACTAGAAGAATCAAGTATGGTTCTTGTTGCCAAGGTACAGTATAGGATTATAGAAGATTGTAATTCTCTAAGATGTTTTTAAAGCTATAGATAAAATATCTATTTTCAATTAATGGTTTGTGCCCATGACTTTGATCAATTCACGACTTTTTTCAGTCTTTTATCTTTTGGAAGTTTATATTATTTTATAATCAATGTTTATATCTGGCTTCTATTAAGTATTTAATTTTGCAATACTATTTCTCTAATATTCAAGTTCTTTATTCTTCTCTATTTCCCCCCTCTATAACAGCCTGTTCTTGTTTATAAGCCTTTTGTCTTCCTTATAATTCTGGGCATATGATTTTGATTTTTTAGTAAAATTCTGTTCTATTTCTTGTATTACATCTTTTTCTTGCCAGAATTGGTTCTACTTGTTCATTATAAACTCCTCTTTATTTTTCTGAAACACCTGGACTAACCATCCATTCATAATTGTGAATAAAGTACACATTGTATTAGCCAAGGTAATTAGCATGTCTGATCTACAGATGTGAGGTGAGCTTCACTAATAGTCTTCACCTTTGAGTGAGAAGGAAGAGTGTGTCAGTTAGCAAGTGCCATTATTCTTTGGTGATACAAGCAATGAAACTCACAGGTGAGACAGGACCATCTCATTTGCCAAAACTTTGGTATATCTCTGACACTGGAAGACTTTAGTTGATCTCTAGCTAAAAGTGTGCTTCCATTTTGATACCCTATAATATCTATCATGCTTGAAACTTATTCTCTCCTAATTTCTCAACATGATTCCCTCGTGGATCAATCATGGAGAACATGATTTCTGATATCTTTTGAGATTCACAACTTCAACATCAATGTAAAGACTGTGTTTCAAAACTTTAATTTGAATAGTCTATATTTGTACTTTAGAATCCTTCAAAAATAACCCGTGTCTTCCCCTTCAATTTAAAACTAATTAATATACAGAGGACTCAGCTAACTGAAGAACAGGCTTTGGTCTGTAGCCAAATACATTTAGTAATATTTTTCAATTTCACAACTTAGAAGAAAAAAAATACTGTGCCAGAGGAAGGA